ATGGTAAACTGCGGCAAAATTAACCTTTTTCTAAAGGTCGATATGTAAACTGTGTCAAAAAAAAATTGAACATTATACAATCTGCGACAAAACTGATAAGACACATTATACAAACTGCGGCAATTTATTTTATATACCTACCAAAATTATTATGTACTACTCATATATACATACCTAAGTGTTGTTATATATCTCGTACAATGTACCTACGTATTATTAAATGCTTGTGGAGTCCATTTTATATTACACTTTAATACTTTATTATTGAAGTAGCTAGAGACTGTTAGAGTATAAGGAGTTGAATTGAATTTTTAATTATAGAGTTACACAACTTTATAGAAATTATAAATGTTCAAAGAATATTATGACCTTTTTTTATTTAGGAATATTTTTATTACCAATATGATATATGTTTACCTAAAGGAAATATGTAAACTCTCCTGGGTTTTAAAATTATGTCTCAAAAATAGACATGTTCATATTATTATTATTATTATACATCGAATGGAATAAAAACGATACGAAAATTATCACTTTACAAAATTTACTTCATTACAAACTTTACTTCATAGGTAGGTATATAGTGAAACAACTGGAACATAATTTTTTTTATAGCTTTTAGTAACAACTATTAAGCTCGAAAATTATAAATACATGAACATAATATTAATACCTTATATTCAATACACCAATACACGACATATTTCTCCATGTTAATCCATTTTTTTGGTGTTAGCCGGGGACCCCATTTTAACGATTAATTGTGACTTACGTCATATGAACAATTTTATAAGCTAAAGCTTGCTGTAGCTTTTTCAATTCAAGAAAACATTCCGGAACTCAAAAAATAAATCATCAAAAAAATTTTTAAAAAAGGGTTTTTTTTCCAAAATTATTTTTCGTGTAAACCTTCTTCTGGCAATTACCAACAATTAAGAAAAAATTTGAGCCAAATCGGCCCAGCCGTTCTCAATTGATGAATTGTTATACATTTTTGGCTCCATTTTTATATATATATAGATATTTATGCAAATTAAATAAATATATTTTGACATTTGGTAAAAATGATATCAAAACTAAGTAGGTACCTACCTAGTTAAAATATCTAGTTATAAATTTTTTTTTTAGTTTTGAACCGACGATGCCGCGGGAACTGCTTTCACATTGCTTCCACGATCTAGTTACAAATTATAGTTATATGAAATGACTTGTTAATAGTTAATATAATCTTGCTTTAGTCTGTCAGAGATGAAATAGATGTTGCATGTGGACAGACAAAACCTTTGACAACTGATAAATTTATGCAAATGCATACTCTAATAAATGAATACGATAATAAGTCTGGTCAAATGCTCATAACCACAGACGATTTAGATGGCTTTAGGGATATGCTATTGTTACAAGTAAATTTGAAGTAATTACAACCTTTATATTAGGTTATATTGCAATTAATAACAGTTAACCTTAACATTATAAAATATATTTTAGGTTGAAAAGCCAATTTAGTCAACTTGCCACACTGGAAAAAAATAATTGGGCTCCATTAAAACCGATTGCTAAAAAGAACAGACTACCAACAACAAATAAACGTTCTGTGCTAAAATCAAAATATGTAGATTAAATTAAAAGTAAGTTTGGATTTTTTAGTATGGTTTTTTATTTTAGAAATATAAGTGTTTTGATTTTTCTATGTATTGATAATACCTAATATTTATTCATTTATAATTTAATAGACCAAGAGACAAAAGAAAAGAAAGCTACACCTAACAGTAAAAATTCTAATGAAAAAAATGATTCAAATAACTCAAAATTCAATGATATGAAATTGCAGTCAAATAAAACTTATTGTGAGTTTTTGATTTGATATAATTATTTGTTGTTGATAATTTAAAATGATCAAAATATAAGAATAATATGTTTTATCTAGTAACAAATTACTATTGTTGTATGTATTGGTTATTTAAGCTAAGCCATAAATATTGTTCTGTGCATGATGTAGATTTTACCTACATCGTGGTTCTTTGCTATAACTACCTATGTTAGTCCGTGATTTAAATATATTAATTTTATTATAGGCACATTGATGACAATATTTTCGCTTGGTTAGTTCGGGCCACACTGTTTTTCTTATCAATTTTTGGAATAGAATTGGTCGCGTCACGAGTTTTGGACTTTTGGTATTATTGTTCTGTGGTAGTCGTGTACTAGTGTGGTATTGGCATTACTTTACATGGCAAATTGTATTTAACACAGACTTCTATACTAGATAGCTGAAGTCTGTGGTATTTAATTACCCGAGCTGTGGCTTTGGATCTACTATAACTACAAAAATATAGAGGGACTTCAGACCCCCCATTTTCCGCCAATGGCATTACCTCAAATATAATAAATAATAATATATCTATAATCTTGGTAAATAGTCGCACCTATCATGTGCTATATCCATTGGGCATTGGCTATGAACCATATTATTTTGGAATACCTACTTTAATTGTATATTTTTTCAATAGGGGTAAGTTACCTATAGTATGGTCATTGATTATATAAAAATTGAATTCCGTTCAGTTGCACGCTTAAGATGGTGGGACGGGTAACGGGTGGGTCCGGTGGAAGATTTCAAAAATGAAACGGGAGACTACCATTTTACATTTTACCCTATATTGTGTATCTCATACATTCACGCTATCAGTGCTATCACTATATTATAAGAGTTGTGATTTGTGAATGTTCAATGATGTGAATTTGTGGTAAATGATCATACTTGTCCCTTTATTTCGTTGTTTTCAAATGACGTTGAAATGTTAAACTGTTTGTGTCCTTCGTGAATTGAATTCGTGTATGATTACGAATTATTGTTCATTGGTTATACGTATCACCTATTTCATATATTTTGTCCAATTTGTAAGTTGTCTTTGATATCGTACAATTTTAAAAAAACGTTAAATTTGTTTAGTGCTTGTGGCGTAGCGTTGTATGATTCCAAACCCAACTAGTAAGTGGTTTAATGTTGAATTTTTATGTACAGATTGTAGTTTCTCTTCAGTTTAGAACGACACGTAGGAGCCAGCTATATGCCCAGATGGTGCAGTCTGTATGTCGTATTGACGTTGTCAAAGACTAACATAATATTTATTATTTATTAGTGCTCTACTAAAAGCGGTACTTGATAAGGGGTTATTGTGCCATTTAGATGTTTTCTATACAAAAATAAATACAATTTATTTTATATCGACTCATTGATCATTCTTAAGTCCCTTCACAATAAGTTTGCTGCGTGTGAAATAAAATATGCTCGAAAATATGGTTATGACTTATACTTAATATACTATTTTGTACTTTATAGATTGTGGAATCTGGATTATCAACTGATTACTATTTGAATAGTCGTAAGTCATTTAAAATTTAAATGTTCATATTTTATTTATTTCACATTTATTACAATATTGAATCAAATTTTCTTTGTATTAGTGTTTTTAGTCGGGTGTAGAACATTCATTTTGTCCTGTGATGGATTCCGCTGATGATTTTACAAATAACGATGAAACTGAAAAAAGGGTTAGAACCCTTTGGGTGGGTAATCTTCATCCGAAACTGTCTACCCGTGATATAGCTGAACTGTTTTATCAGGTAATTATAATACATATAACACGCCAAAGATTAATCATACACATTTTATTGGATAAAGATTTAATGAAAACATATTGATCGTTAAATAAACAATAAAATAAAATTGTACTATTATTTATACGAGATAAGATATTATTAAATATATCTGTAGTTGGAACCAGTTCACAATTCCACATACATAATCTTAAATCAAATTTTAATTATGATAATTACCTGTTTCTTGCGACTGAATTGTTATAATTTAAAAAATTTCTTTTTCCTATTTTACTAAAAATAAATAAATTTCTAATTTATTATTTAAAATTAAAAAACAATAAGTAAATTTTACGACAGTCATATTTAAGATTTGCGGTCAATATTATGGTTCAAAATTAAATATTAGGTAGTTATTACAGTTTTTGTTGATTGTCTAACTTCCAACCACAATAATTATTTAGTATAACCTATGTGCCAACTCATATTCCTATGTTTTAAATATTATATTAGGTTTTTGATTTTTATTTATTTTTATCTATAAACCAATATGTTATTTAAATTTCTGTGCAGTAAAATATTTGTGATTAAATAAATACCTAAATATTAATAACATTTTTTTTCTGCATACTTCCTTTTGAAGGTGGGGCCGATTGAATATGTTGATTTTGCATTTGATGAACATGATATACGTGAAAACTTTGCTTTGGTTGTGTTCAAATATTCAAGTTCTGTGGAAGATAGTATACAATTGTTTCAAGGTACTGAGCTACATGGGCTGCCAATAATAACAAAAAATTACTCTCAACACTTTGAAGATCCAGTTTTTAATGATCAACTTAACTATTTCAAACAACTAATCAAAGTCGAACGAAATTGTCAATCAAACAATAGTCCTACTGATAGTAAATGGATTGATCAAAGTTTAGATGAGAATAACATAATTCCAGAAACTCTGCCTGAACCACCCATGCATGATAATTATGATCGTAGATCGGATAATGTGACTAGATGTAGATCTAAGGATAATTCATCTAAATATGGACATAATGCCCCTCATACTAAACGCCATAACTCAGTAAATAGTGGTGAATATTATCCAATTGATAAATCTCACCGTAGTCACAAACATCATAAAAAGTTTGAACCCAACAGCAGCTCTGGGTCAATGGAAGTATTTAATTATGATCATGATTCACATCATAATCAAAATACTAATCGTAAACACCACAATAATGTTAATAAATCATTTAATCGAAAAGAAAGTACATATCACAATCAGGAACCTACGTTTGCACATGAAAAAAATGGTGCTAAAGATAATATGCTAGTACGTGATCTAAGAGATACTATGTTTAGGAAACGTAGTCGCTTAGATTCTAATTTTCATACTGATACTAATGCTAGTGCTGGTTGTACGTCACTATTAGATCTTAGAGATACTATGTATCGTAATAAAAGCAGTAGATATGAAGATTTAGGACAACAGAATTATGAATCAGATTCTAATCGATGGTCAGAACAAAATCAGAACACACGTGGAAGTTTCTTGAACAAAGAACCTCGTAAAAATTACTTCAATTCTGAGCGTTACGGTGAATCAAATACTAAACATAAAAATCATTATGCTGATCAAAGTTATAATCAAAATAAATCACATAATGATTTTCAAGAATATGACAGTGAATTTCCAAATAATTATAATGGCGGTTATAGACGAGAGAAAAATAGGCCAATCAATCATAAGTACAACAATCCTCAGAATATGGAATCTAGCAGTCGTCAGCACAATTCTTATCATCCTTACAAACGAAACAATGAAGGTCCAGATAGAAAAGATTATAATAATTTTCATGATGAACAAAGTGGTCAAAATCGTGGTAGAAATTATAATAGAGGGGGTTCTGACCGATCAAGGCATAGTTATTATTCATGAAATTGATAAATAATTAATGTTATTTTAAAAATCAACTCATTATTGTACAACCATTAAAATAACTATTTGATAAAAACCTTTTTTTTTAGTTGGAACTACATAATTTAAATAGTTTTATATTTATTATATAATCTATAAGTGCATTAATATATCTGTTAGAAAAAGATCTCTGAACAGAATAATTGTTTAATTTCGATTTAAATATATGCATCTTACACATAACTTTTTAGTAAATATTTAAATTATTAAGTACTAAATGAATTTAATACGTTCAAACAAAAATGTTACAGTTCTTACTTTAAATTTAGTAATACAAATTTAAAAAAATCGATGCAATAAAAAGTTTAAGTATTTTTTTTGAGGCATACCACTACAAAATACGTGCGTAACAATTTGTGTATTGTTTAATTAAATATCTTATAATTTTATAAAAATATAACATTTTTTTTTTTGTCGAGGTTGGTTTGGTTTAAGATTACGAAAGGAAGTATTATATCTCCTACCTTAGCTAATATTTGTCATATTAAAAAAAACATTCCTCTTAAATATAAATATTTTGTTCAAATGATAGAAACTCTAAACTTAATTATTTCTTATAGTAAATTATAGTTTTGTTCGATTAGAATTTTTTAAATAACTATTAGTTGAATTCATTCATCTTAAACAATTATTTTTTTTAATCATAAATATATCTAAGGTTTTGAGCCTTTGATTTGAAATTTGTATGCTAAGTTACTTTCATCAAATTATAATTAATATTTTGGTGCTTAATGGTTATTACAATTATTGACCATAGAATAATAATATAGACCAGGGATGGCAAACCTTTTGAATACTGCTTGCCCAAAATTAGTTATAACTTTTTTTTTTTTAGAGCGTGTCATGAAAAAAAAAATTATATTTTGTTATACTATTATTTGATTGTATAATTAATGTATTAGTATAAAAAGTTTGATTTAGGTTATTATAGGTCCTATAATATCATATATTATATAATATATAATAGTAAAAATGTCCGTGTGCCCACAAAATCTTTTTGTGTGCCATGAATTTGCCATCCCTGATATAAACCCACTACAGGTTAATACTGCATTATATAATTTTGAGGGAATTTAGAAATGTACAAGACAAAATAATATAAGTGGGTCTACACAACAAAACATAAATCTTAGAGCTAAGTATAATTTGATTTTATGACCCATATCTCTTTGATAAACTTCTATGGGCAATTCTGTGGAAAAGTTAAAGCAACTTATTTCATGGTAAATTCCAGTTTTGATGTGAAAAGCTCTAATTACCTCATTATTAATATTTAATTACAAGTATATAATTAGATATACTTATAATTGTAAAGATAGAGAATTATATTATATCATATTTAAATGTTGTACAAATTCAAGAATTATTAAAAAATTGAAAATCAAGTATTAAAGAATCATTCAATAATAAAACCAATCTATGTTCAAAGTTTAAAATAAATATAGAATACATTTTAACTTAATATTATATTTATAGGTAAGTATTTTAATTTTCAAACATTAATAATAATATTTGTTTTGTTGTTTTTTATTAATTGTAATAAATATAATTATTAGGAGGTGTTTTTACAAGTTTTATTTTATAGATACAATATTCAAAAGATTAAGAAATAAAAAATAATAATATAGCTAACATAAAATATTTTGATGATTGATCTGTTAAGTAATGATAATAATAAAAACAATATGTTTAAGTCTGTAAAAGTTACATTGAATTTTGTTAATTTTTATCTATAAGGACATCGTACACTTAAATAGGTAATATTTGAAGTTCTTATATATAAAAATTTCTTATATATTACTGTCAAAATATTAGGAAACATTATATTCCACTTCGGAAATTTTTTTTCTAAGGATTTTTATTCTGTTATCCATAAAAATATTTTTTTCTGGAACTCCATAAATAGTAGCTTCAATAATAACTTTTATTACTGTAATTATTAGTCTTACTTTCAAGTTTCAATCATAATGTAACCACTTGCTTGAATTTATAATTGTAATGGTAAATAAATATTCTTGTGTAGCATAACTGCTTCTTTATTTTTCCAACCATAACAAAAATTTATTTTTATGAATACAAAAAAGTAATTTGTTAAAGCACAAACTTAAATATAATATGGTTATTTAAACTTGCAATTTTTTGACAAGTAATTCATAAAATTATGACATGAAATAGGATTTAACATTTTCTATTCAATACTGATTTTGAAGCAATTTTCACACATGAAATGTATCTACTAAAAATATTTCAAATAAATTATAATAATATAAAAAATATATACCTACTATATACCTATTAAATAATTTCACAAAGTATTACAAAAATATACTTGATGAAATATTTGTTACCAATAAATGGTTATCATTGTGGGATTATTAATCATCAAATTGAATTTTAAAAATATCTTAATATTAAGAATGTGATGTTATGGCATCATGCGGTTTTCCCATTTGTGTTAGTACCTTATCAAGCCATTGTAAAGGTCCATGTAAATGTATCTCAATCCAACATGGAGTACTTGTTACATCTTGACGATGATAATCAGCCCCCCAGCCTTTCACAAATGACATACGAATCGTACACATTTTGGTTAATTCAAAAACTGCCTCAAACCCATGATTAACTGATTGTGATAAAAGACCGGCAAATTCTTGATTGTTAAATATACGCAATGAACAACCTGGTGGTATTTTACATACCGTAGATGGATGAAAACCATGGTGCTGGTTACAATTACGTGATTGAACAAATATAGCAGAATCAGATAAACATTCAGCAAAGACTTCACCACCAACATAATATAGTTGAACCCCTAAAAACAATAAACATTTATTACTAAGTACTGAAATAAGTTTAATTTTGACTTGCAAGAATAATATCACACCTTTGCCTATATGTCGTCTAGTATTTTCAATAGTTGAATTACGATTTACATTGGATAACTGACCAAGACAAAAACGATTTAAATCATTTCTAGGATTTGTAAAACCATCAACAACCACATGAGGAGAATGACACTGATACACTTCACCCACTCTAGAATTGAGTTCATAATATGCTATACTAGCCCAACAGGGTTGCTCCTGGAAAAAAAAAGTATTACACAATCATTCTCATTAAAATTAAAATTATAAAATTACTCTAAACTACCATTTTTGACTTGATTTAACTTAATAATAAACAAATAAAGTAATAAACTCTCCTAAATCTTGATCAAAGAATAAAAAATTTATTCCATTTATTTTTTAATATTGGCATAGGTTCTGTTATACTTTTGTAAAATAAAAGTTTAAGATTTTGCTATACTATTTTAATATCCTTTTATTATACTATTTTATACCTATTTTATTATACAATAACAAGAACAATACTAATAGGTATCTATTTGTATTTCTATTAGGCACATAATGTCCCTTGCCAATGTGGACCCCTATTTCTCTTTTTAAATTATTAAATAATATTGTTGTATATAAATCTTTAGTATTGTTCTTGTTATTGTATACATTAATATGTTATGTATGTGAAAGCCCGTCAAATCTTAAAAAATAAATAAATAAGTAATGACTAAATAACTTATTTTACTTGATAGACTATTGGAATCCCGTCGAGGTCTTCTAAATTGGTATTTTTGTCAATATTATTAATTTTGTTTGGATCATCTGTTGAAGAAAATGAAGGATTTTCTGAAATATGTAATATTTATACATATTAAAATTTTAATATGGATCATTCTAATGATTTGGTTTCTTTTATAAAATACTCTACCTATAAGAGATGTATCCGAAAAAGGATTAATGTTATTTGTGGCCGGAATTTGATTGGGGTCATTAGATGTAGTTTGATTAGTAGTTAATACACTTTCAGGGAATCCATCAGTATTCATAGATACATTCATTGGCATTCCAACATCAATTGGTGGCTGATATTGCTGCAATGTCTGCTGTGGGGCATATTCACTTTGACGGGGAACTAGCACCGGAGGTAAAACTACAAAACAAAAAAGAAAAACATTAAATAATGAACATTATATTTGTAATTTAAAATTTTACCTGGACTTTCGACTCTTTGATAGTGGTATGGATTTATGCAAACATCTTTTTGTTTAGCAGAAAATGGAAATTGACAGTGATCAACTGCTTTAAGCTCATGGTGTGACTGAAGATCAGGCCATCGCCATACTCTACAGTATATAACATGAGGTAAACCTTTTCTGTGAGATACCTAAGATAGTAAGATGACAAGCTTTCATTACAAATTTATGACAGTGAACAAACATAAAATATTATGATCTTACTTGCAATCGACCATCTAGACTTCTTGGTATAGTGACACATTTACTTGGCTGTCCAGGTGAACTTAGAGCTTTTTGTAAATCTTCAGTTGCTCCTTTAGTTTTTTTTAATTTCTTCATCAGTGCATCTACAGCTTTCTCAGCCCATTTCTCTTCTTCATCTCCTTGCTTCCACCCAAGTAATTTTTTTACAGATGGGCTTGTGAATGAAAATAAACTATTCAAAGCTCCACCTGTCGTGTCCATTTCTTCAACCATTATTGCTACCTATCCAAGCAGTAAAATATCCATATTATATTCCATAAATCCTACATGCATAATTTGTTTGTCATACCCTCATTTAAATATTTAATAAAATATCATAAATTTAATATAAACCTACAAATAAAATTCCTAATAATACTTACTAAGTTTAATTCTCGGTTTACAGACTTACAGTGTACAGCAAGTTTATGTACACCTATATTTGTACATATAATATATATAAATAGTATACAATATTATGTAATTAAATAAGTAATAACTAATAAGTTAATATTATAAAATCTATAAACTTTACTGTTCATATATATTCGTTTTAACTTTAAAAGTTAATATTATTCATTGAGCAAATATTCAAAAAACATTGGTAGGCATAGAACCGGGATATTGAAAATTGCATTACTTCCCGAATTATACAGAAATACAGAATGACAAAATTAGCGCGTGCGCATTTTTCAAATATAGTAAAATCGATAACTGTATTCAGTATAACATCGATAATGTATTGATTTTTACTACACGCATGCGTCATACAGGATAGGATAACTGATAAGAACTATAATTATAATCATAATATATATATATATATATATATATATAAGTATAAAATATTTCAAATAGTCAATGATCAGATTCTGTATTAATTTACCGTTAAGGAGTAGTTCCATTGGTTCCATCTTTAGAACTGTGACATTTTAAACGAAAAATAGTTCAAAACTTTTATTTTTTGCTACTCATTGCCACTAGTCACTTCTAGGTACTTTGTTATAATATGTGTTTTTGACTTTGTATGCTTCGTAATAATTAGTTTTGAACATAATCTGTTTTTTGTATGTAGGTAGTTTACAATTAGTGTGATGTGTGATTGTAACTTGGAAGGTCATTGATGAAACTGTAGACATTACTAAGTTGAATTTTAAGTTGTGGCCCCATTAAATTGTAGGCACCTTTAGAGGGTCACCTGGGAACTTAGTAGGTTATAGTTTATTGACCAGTAGATTTCAATGATTTTTGTGAAGTTTTAGGAGTTGAATTGTTTATGAAGGACACATGGAATAGAGAATACTAGATGAAGTGAGTGGATGGAGACATACTGGGACTTTGGTGAACAAATGGAGATTTTTCAACTAAGAAGTTTAGATGCGATGTGTTTGAAGACTTTGTTGAGGTTCTGAGTTGGATTCTGTAAGTCCACATGAACATGTATATGTAATCAATTATACGAGTTTGAGTAGTAATTTATAGATAGGTAAAGATTGTTTATTTATACTTTGGTGTTTCACTCAGGTGTTTAGATGTGAAAATAAATCATAACGATTTAACTTGAATAAGTATTTATTGTTACTTCCAATGTATTAAATAATTTTAATTTATTATATAGGTACCTATCTACTTAAGACATTTTAAATCTATGAAATGAAATTATATTGTTAGAGCTTTTTTATAAAAATAAACAAAGTAGACGGTTCCCATTAAAGGTAAATTTAGATTTTTTTCACTCATGAATATAAGTGATAGCTGGCAGTTATGATTTAATAACTCCTAACTAAATATAATTAATAATTATTAATTATGTTTGTACATTTATTTAAACGTGTATTTAGCTAATTACTTAAGGTTAAAATAACATTTTTTTGTGATATTGTATAGGATTGAAAAAATAAATATGGATATTCAGTCAGTAGATTCTAGTCGTAGTCGATCAACTAATCGTTCTGAAACTGTTTCATATCAACATTTTCTTGACATGGAAATTCTATGCGATCGATTAATACTTTTGGATTATGAATCGTATGTAGTGAAATCATTGAAAATGAGACCAATTAATAGGTAAATGCAATAAATAGTTTCATTAATTTTTAATTAAATAATTACTAACAAAATTAATTATGTATTAGACATTATTTTGCCTTACAAACTAGTTCTGGAGAACAGTTTTATATGTTTGTATCTTTAGCCATATGGTTGTTAAGCAAACTTGGTAAAGATCTAAAACAGCCTCAAGAATATGATGACCCAAATTCAACAGTTAATAGTATACTAGAATCGTCTGCACAATTAGTATGAGATATATAGTACTATGTTAAATTATATAAAAATATAAAAGTATATATTTTTTTAGGAATTATCTGTTGATTTCCCAGTTAATCAACTAAAACAAGGTTTTGGAAAACATGTCATTGAAATTTTAAATGGGCTTGCAGATTTGGCTTTAAAAAAAAATAATTTTCCCTACAAAAAGTATAAAATAATTTTTTAAAAATGAAAAATTTTTTGAATATGAACTTTAAATTTTAGACCAATATTTCCAGTTGAAAAAGAAGAAATAGAAGAATTACCTGAAAATAATGCAGAACTTTTATTAGAACATGTTGAAGAAGAAATGGTTTGGACGGACTCTGATTCCGATGAAGAAAATATGCTTAATATTAATGATTTGACTGCTTTAAATAAGGTAAATAATAAATATACAAATTTATTTTGAATTACTATAACAATATTTATTCCAGAATAAAAGACAAACTTCTTATAAAACAAATGAGAATTTAAAAACTACATCTGCTAATAAAGAAGAATGGAACCTAGAATTAGAACAAGTACTACCTTCATTACGAGTAACAATCAAGCTAGGTATGTAACTCGTAATTATATTTTAACTAATAGATTTCCCTCCAAGGAGTCTCTATCCCCTCCTTGCCCCAAGTTAAATATCTCCGTATTATTTTAGACAAAAGATTAACCTGAGGTCCTCACCTCAAATCCAAAAGAAAGTTGCTAAATACTAGATGTCATTTGTTATGTCCTATACTAAAATCCAAAATTCCACTTCGCATCAAGATACTTATCTACAAGTCAATATTAAGACCAATTTGGTCTTACGGTGCCCTAATATGGTGCTGTGCCAAACCATCACAACTAAAAACAATTGAAGCTATCCCTCCGCATAATCACGTCCGCTCCTTGGTATTTCTCAAATCTTACCCTACATAATGACCTAAACACTGAATCGGTTGATAATTTAGTTAAAACTTACTACAAAAAGTTCCACTCAAAATTACTTCTGCTCTCCAATCCACTAATTGCTAATCAACATACAGCCACAATCCCTGACAACCTACTTTGCCGTCTTAAAGGACGTTGGTGTCGTAATCTTTTAATTAAAAAAGATGTCTCGTCAAATTTAGCCGAAATATGTCAAAAGGGTCCTATCACTGGATAGCTTCCCCTCTCCCCGTCACCATGTCAAATATCTTTTCTGTACACTTATTTGCGTATTGTAACTTTTTTTAATGTGCAGATTGTAAATGTTATTTATTTTTTTTTAATAAAATAAAAACTAATAGATTATTTTAGCAGCATTAAATATCATTAAATGTTAAAAAACGTAATTCTTTTAAAAATTTGGTTTGGTTTTTATTTTATAGTATTTTAATTATTTTTTTAAATTCTTGCCCTATATTTTTGAAAATAGCCATTTAATATTTGTTTAAAACATTTTTATTAAATCGAAACAAATTATTATGCATTTCATTAAAAATCTGTTTAGAAACTTATAATTTCCATAATGTAATTTTTATTTAGATTAATTAATTTTATATGTATAAATTATGTTTGTTTTGATTTTTATATTTTCCTTTATTAAATTTAATATTTTGAATACAATTATATAGATTACAAAGATTGGCGAACAAGTTTGAAACAAATGAAGGAACACAAATTTATGATGAATGCATCCATAGAAAAAGTCAAGCCTCTTTTAACCAATCTTTGTAGTACACTAGGAGAAACTATGGAGAAAGTTTATAGTAGAGAACAATACTTGAACAGCTCTTTAGACAACCTTCTAATAGAATACCGTAATTCTCAGGTAAAAACATTTAAAAATGTATAGTCCTTAGAGTTTAGGTGTAGCTAATTTTACATAGGTGGAAATCCATTGAAAAAATAGGGGGCTATGGTTTTTCTCATCAACCAATAGTGTAATGAAAATAAATTTTTGAAAAATCTATGTTGTTTTTTGGTGTAACTCGTAAACAAACGGAAACAGATGAAATTTTCACTAAATGCTTATATTGGCCATAGCTACGCACTATACAATTTTCAAAGTATTTTGACTTATTTTGAGCTATTTTTAGGCGTATGAAATTTATGATTTGTATTAGTTCTTTTTTAAATAAATGTCTATAAAAAAATTTCTGTTTGGTCAAAAAACTTGAAAATGTAATACAAGGTTTCTCCTAAGTTGTTATAAGTGGAAATCAAAAATAAAATGGAACGTAAATCCACAATAATTTTTATATGAGTGTAGTAATATTATAGGCTTTCTTCGCTCAACATCTTTATTTGTATACAATGTTATGATTTTATATCATTAAATTCAAGTTGCCCTAACACATCCATTACAGTGACTTCTCTAAACACTTTAATACATAATTAAAATAAATAATTTATTGTTTTTTAAGAATTTAATATATGGAAATGAAACTACAAAATTTGTATGTTTTTTGCAAAAAATGTTTGCCAATGCTAATTTGCAAATTGAGAGTATTTAGTAATGGTTTTTTTTTTTTTAAGAAAATTAAAAGCCTCGATAGCACGACCATTGGCTTGCTTTTTACACGATTATAATTGTTTTATTACTATTATTATTATTATTTAGGATGAACTAGCTCGAGTTATTGAACATTATAAACTTTTAAGTAATGGTATTGTAGAACGACAAGATGCATTATTAAAAATAACTGAACAATTAGATATTGTTAAGCAAGAAATGGATGAAAGAGGATCAAGTATGACAGATGGAAGTAAGTTTACTGTTATACAATAATAAAATCATATTTTAATTACTAATTTTAATATTCAATGATAGCACCACTAATCAATATAAAAAAAGCAATAGCAACTATAAGGTCAGATATCATGGAAATGGATGTTCGTATTGGTGTGTTGCAACATGGATATTTTATGTCTAAAGTACATGAAAAATCTGTTATTCAAGATCCTATGATAAGGCCAATATTTCCTAGAACTGTGTTGTGATAATATTAAGTACCTACACTTCTTCCTTGCTGTTTGCATTAGTTATAAATTACTATTTAGTAAATATTTAAATGTTATGTCTTTATGATGCATATATTATTTGCATAAAATTTTTTTTTATTGCCTACCACATATAAGCAAGATATTTTATATAGGTATATTATTTATACTAATTAATTAAGTGCAATATAAGTTAAAACACATTTTTAATAAATTATATAATAATTTAATTCCTTAACATGGTGAGATTTATATGTATTAACTTAAAAGGCTTAAAAATTATCTCTGAATGAGGGATTAACTCAAATCTGAATTTTTTCACTTCTCATACATGTTTCAAATCAATAGGAGCTTATCACAATTTTGTATTAATATAGTGAAAGGCAAGTTCTTTGAAGACAATACAATTATTTAATCCTATTTTCGTTAAAAAAATAAAATAATGTCTTTAATGTGAAGTACTTGGCATAATAGTATAATACTATTGAGTATAAATAAACAAAATTATATTAATACTTATTGTTTATATGAAAGCTTCAATATATAATTGTATAAAAAAGTATACCTGAATTGACCTTGGTATTCTGCAATGTGTAATTAATTTTAAAACATTTTAGTGTAAATAGTTAATAGTAAAATCAATTAATTCCTAATTTGCTAATAAATCCCCAAGAAAAAATATAGTTAATTGATGTATATATAGTCTATGTAGATATTAACTAAATATTAAATAATAATATATTATAAAATATCAATATTTAATATACTTTCCATATTTATATTACCTAATAAATGTTACAATTTAAAACATGTAATATAGTATATTATACTCCATTTCCATAAAGCCATAAAAGTACTTTAGTAAGAGTACATTTATTCCGACAATCATCTTTTGCATCATGAAACATTGAAACCTATATAAGTATTACAATATATTAAAAAAATAAAATAAAGCACCAACATGGGGAGTGGCCAGTGGCAAATAAGTATTCAAGGATTATTATAAATGTGTATAACATTTAAAAAAAATATATATTTTGTTTTTTATATATGTATGATATAGGTATGAGAATAAAATAAATAATAGATAGTTGATATATTACATATTAATATTGACTAATCTGTAAATTGAATAAATACTTACATAAATAAATATATATATATATGTTAGTCAGGGGTTTAAGTGGAGGGGGACGCAGGAAGACTCAGTCTTCTGAAAGCGGGGAACAAATCAGGATTTTATACATAATATTATATATGGAACGATTAAAACAATACGGATACATTAGTCCCCCCCTGGAATTTTTTCCCACTTTAAACCCTGATGTAATTATATACCGACTGAATTTATAATATGTTGTTAATATTGACATAATTACAAAATGCTACTACAGTACTACTACAAAAGATATACTATACACACTACTAACACATATAATTTTAAAAAATAAATCTTATTGGGATACAGCAAATATGTTATTATATTTGAAAAAATAAAATATTAGTTCCTTATATTTCTCTTACCTAATATTGTCAATAAAACAATAAAATATTCAATATTGTAAATAGATACATTTTATAGCTCATCTCGAGTGCTATTTTTATGTATTGATGGTGGGTAGGCTTAGTGTTTACTGTTTACTTTGGTGTTGGTTAGAGAAATATAGATACCACAGACCTTAAAATGTTGTATATAGTATACCTTAAAATATGAATACACTAGGTGTTTTCATTGCAATGTCCGGGCACTGGGGTGTCTAAAAGATAGCCCTACTAAATTCCCTTACCACTAAAACATAACTTAATATAACAAAATATGTTGATACACATATTGTCATTTTACAATTTGTAAAATTTTCAGAGTATTATAAATATACTTATATCCAATAATAAATTATCTTTTTTAAAATAATGTGTACCTACCTAACCATTTTTAAAAAATTATCTGCAATACACACATTTTAATAACTTAGAAACTTCTGGTTCAAATTTTGATTAAGATAATATAAAAAAAAAAAATATATAAAAATATCCTGTCTAAATTCAGAAGCAAGCTGGGGGTAGACCAGCCCAAAAAGATGCTAAAATCTAGCAACCCATATATTTTTTAATAGGCAAACTTGTTACATCTAATTTTTAAGCCAATCTTGGTTCTATATAATTTTTAAAAGCAGTGATAGTAAATTTTAGACAAATTGACATTTGCTTTGTTATCTAGTCATTCTAGTGGATCACATTTTCATATGTATGCTATTGTAACCATGTTTTGAAATTTTTTTGAGATTTTCGTCAAAACTTGATTGATGTAATAAATAAACAAATAAATAAATAAATATGTTAGTCAATTGTTAGTGTGCAAGTTAGTCAATTGTCAGTGTGCAATACTATATTAATATTGAATAATGTAGCAACTTAATATTTTTATAGTATAATATTATTCGCATTGGATTTTCCCGAGTAGGTACTAACGTCCCATAAACTTATTATTTAAATCTCATATATAAATCTTCTATCATATCTTATTATATTTCCTGAACTCTCCTACCCACTGTGTTTAATAATTTAAAGAAAAAATTTAGTTCTCATTTGAAAAAAAAATGGTTGTTTCTCCACAGGATACTCCTTTAATGGTAAAAACCTTGATAAATGAAAATATGGTTAAGTTAATTAGTTAATAAATTAAAATAATCACAATTTTAATAAATGTTAAAATGTACTAATAAAGTAGAGAATGGGAGTGAGCATGCTTGGTAATTGGTGAATCATTTTGTATACCTACATAATATATATTAGCACTCATAAAAATATTTGTTGAATAATGATCAACTTTTTTTAATTCTGGTAATAAAAACTTACAAAGAACTTTGTATTAGGAATTCATTAACCACCTTCAAAGATGTAATCAAACCATTTTTACTGTTTCAAAGGGTGATGGATTGAAAAATAAAAACATTGTATAAACTATAAACATTTATCAAAGTGCTCAGAATCAAAAATTATGTCTTAAATTTTTATGAGGTAGGTACCTAATTTGGGGCAAGATGATTTTTTTATTTATCTGTATAAATTGAGCAATTCTACCTTTTAATAACATTTAAAAACATTTATGATGCTTATGATCGCATTCACCTCAACTATAGTGTGAAATGTGAGTAGTGAACAGACACACATAATTGGTTTTTAAGGAAATATAAACGGGTGTTTCTGTTTACTTCAAATTATCAAATTACTAAAAACATACTTTAAATAATATAATGTAAAAATTGTCTCTAGCTGTTAGGTAGGTTGTAGGTTGTAAATATGTTATATACTATTGGGAAACATAATATTAGTAAGTTACCTTTCATTAAGAACAAGAAAATAATCTAACTTATCTTAGGAGTTAGGAATCCTTGAGATGTTACCAAAAACATAAAAAAAACTGATCCACTGACACTCCTAGTTTTATGGAACTAATTATGTAAATATCTATTAGCAATTATCAAACTTAAAGGTAAGTAGCACGGTTTAAGATATTATCTGTGTTTGTCCGTTTGTCAATAGTCAATATTATAAAAGTTACCGTATGGCGTATACATTTTACTACTCCCCATTTCCCTCGCAGCGGTACGCCGCCTACACTCAGGTGTCAGATTACCTGTGCTTGTAAAGTCATAACAATAACAATAATAAAACAAATTTGAAACCAATCTCTTCATTCTTTTTTTTTTTTAACACGTTGCACAGGCCCTAGGGCATGAATATATGATCCCTGCTCAGCCCCGCTCTAATTAGTAATAGCCAATAGGTAATTATTGCTTTGGTCCCTAATAAGACACTTAGACACGAATAACTCGAATATTTATGATGCTGTTGACTGTTGTCAAGTATTTTAATTTACAGTGTAGAGTGTAGGTATTACAATGTACCTACCATACATTGTTACATTTCAGTAACTTGTATCACGTTTATTGGTACATGTCAGTCAGTACCTATCTTACTTAGAGCACTTCAACAATTAATAAATTAGGCATTTCTACGTTGGTATAATAATATGAAGCAGGTATACTATTAAATGTATACTAAATTTAACTTTAAAATATAATGTTACTTTTATATTATAAACTATAATGTTCGATATCTTGGTATATATTTATAACCTATTTATAGACGGTTTAATATTAATATTAACTTTTTTTTAGGTAGGTACTTGTACATCTATGTCCTATATCAACGATGAAATTCCATTTTCAATAATGCGTATAGGTACATCAACGTACTAGGTTTTAATAACAGTGAAACGTTCAAAAAGTAAGTGTTTTTCTAATGTCAAAGGCAGAGTTTAATACTTTAATACGGTAAGAGGTTTAGCGCCGTATAGGTACAATACACACGCCTACATAATAAATTATAACCGATGGACAGGCAAAGTTTTCCTAATGGAAGCCAGAACCGAGAGAAAAATATACGTTCAACGTTGGTTTAATTGCTTACAAGTACCTAACGTTTTGGTCTAACGGTAGGTAAGTAGTGCGTACACATTACATGCCTACAATACAGGTATTATAGGCAGTAGGTACATAATGTAATGCAATGAAATAACAATATATCGGTAAACTGTGTATTACTATAGTTATTAGTTACACTCGTGTAAACCTGAATATTATATTCTATAAATTATACTGGTTTGCATTCAGTCAACACAACCTGTCCATAAGTGTGTCGTACGCTTAGAATTTAATTACAGGTATCTTTTTGTATTCATACGACTCGAGTGAGAGAAAAAAAAAATAAAAACCAGAGCTTTATAATGGGGAAAAAATTAAGCAAATGAAAAACAACCGCCGCTTGCGGAGACACGCTCGTCCGATATTGATTTCTCTCCGTCAGGCTATAATGCTATATATACGGACAGTCGGTAGCAGCCCGTGCGAAAACGCCGCCGTCGAGTGATTCAATTATAACGACGGCCGACCTTGGGACACGGAACCAATGTTATATATTATAACTATACGAACACGCGACCGTCGATACATAATACATGATGAATACATCATAATGTATCGGACGTCAGTTGTGTGTATCGCGCCTATGCGCGTAGCCGCGTTATCGGCGTCGCGCCGTCGTCAGCTGATCGCCGTCCAACCCAACCCGGGTAAACGGGACGCATATCGCCGCAGAATATTATCGCCGTACTGTGTATTTGTGTTCGGCGCCGAGTGCAGCCGATAGCCGACGGACGCCGCACACGCACCGACCGAATGCGCGGTCCAACCTCTCCCACGCGGCCACGCCACCGCTACGTCAGGTGTTATTATCGTATATTCCCCGCCGCCGGCTCTATCCTCACCGCCGAAGCGTATTACCACGTCTTCGGGTCGTGATTCGTGACGTCATACGAGCCACCTCTCTTCTGCCACTTTCCGACGACGACCGGACGACGGCGACGACGACTGCCGGACTGCTGGTTTTGCACGGGGAGCAGTAGGAATAACTCAATAACGTCAAACGTCCAATGCTCAAATAACAACAATAACAACAATAGAGATCAGTCACTCAGCGCAGGGTCTTTGCGACGTGTCAGGGCGAATCGTTGATTTTCAATCGCGCCACTGTTAATATTATTTAATATTAAATATAATATCATTTCGTTTCTGCGTACATCGTCGTCATTCAAACACCACCACCACCATGAGTGCACACGCGTCCGGCAAGCTCATCATAGTGTCCAACAGGCTTCCGTTCGTACTCAAAAAAAACGAGCAGACGCAAAAATGGGAAAGAAAAGCCAGGTATGATTGGGTTTAAGTACTATTTTAAAAAAACAAAAAAAAATATTACCGTTGTCCAATGCGAATAGTACCGTGTGTTTTATCTCGGTTTTTGTTGGGCAACAACAAACATGATAAGAACCTTGTGTGTTTGTTATAGAGTAATAATATAAGTACTTTATGGCGTATTGGCGCGTGTGTGTGTGTTATCAATATTGACAACATTTATCATTTCGTTACCCGCCGTGTGCTCGCGTCCCGCACTGGTGTACTGAAACTATTTTTAAGACTACCTACGCATTGGATTTCTTACGTTGTTTTAAATTTTTTCGTTGTATTCCAATAATTGACGATGATCAAGAGGTTTGCAGCGAGCACTCTGTATGCGATCCGCCTGCCGATTAACTGGCAACCGGCGTCTAATGTTTGCCTTTGTCGGTCGTTAGAATTCAAGAAAAGTAGATCGGAGATTGACAATGAAGGTGCTCTGAAAAAGATTAGACCCAAAACGGTACCACTGCCGAAAATTACACTGTTGGGTCTAGAAAAAGATGTATCTGTAGTCACTATGGATGTAGCATCCAAGATGTGTGAAAGACGGGGCCTGAAATTGGTAAAAATTATTGATATTGATACTAAAACACAGCGGCCTGTTTACCAAATGATGACAGCTAATCAGTTCCTCAAAGAGGATCATAAAAGTCATCAGAAAAAGGATGAGAAAAATCAAAATCAACTCAAAGGGGAAAAAACAGTACTGATAAATTGTCGTATAGGACAAAGTGATTTAGAATCAAAAGTAAATAACATCCGTAAATGGCTATCTAAAATGCACGAAGTAAGGGTGTCAGTCACTGGTGATACAGCTAATCAGGTTGCTGATGAAGTCATCAAAATGACTCAGGAGTATTCAAGAATTGTTCAAAGACGAGAAAAAGGAGATACTGTGAAATTTCAGTTATTACCTCCAAAAAAATCTTGATTCACATTTTAGCTGTACCACTTACAGATGATTTTTTTTTTAATTTTAGAATATTTAAATTTAAATTAATTGTAATTATTTTATTGAGTTTATAAATGTTTACAAATAAAAACTATTTTACTTAATATTATTTTTACATTTTTTCTCTTCAATTTTCTTATTATGTTAATGGTATAGTTCCTAAACAAAGGCAAGTATTTTTTGGCTCAATATGTTGGATGGTTTTCAAATATGTAATATAAAAAAATCAGGAATGACACTTGCCAAATAAACAAAATGTCTTTTGGTATACATAGTTTATTTATATGGAAATAGAGTAGGTTGCTAAATAAACATATTCAATCATTGTTTATCATATTTTGATCACATATTGGGGATGCAATTACACAATTTGTCGGAGAAAACTTATGATCCGAGTAAACATTTAAATTATATCATTTATTATATAATTTATATTGACATTATAAGTTTCTTAGTTGAAAATCTAGATTGAATTGTACTATTATACCTCATCCATTACCTAATAAGTAATAATTAATATATAAATATTACAAGTACCAAGATATATGATGTTAGTTAAACACAATTATGAAATTGCTTATACATAGCGCACACAAGAAATAAAATATTAAATTGAATTAGGTATACAATATTGAAATGATAAGTGAGTTACTAAGATAAGTTTTTATTTTTCATAAATGAAAATAAAATATGGATCTTAATTTTTACATCTTACTTAGGTTTGTCTATGAAAGTATTAAAATCATTTTATTAAAAAAAAAACAACATAAAATCGAGCTCTTAAATTAAGAGTAATATGTTAATTGTACATATGAAAATATAATTAAACGTCAATGTATTATTAGTAAAATTATTTTTCTTACATTAAATATTAAATGATATAAACATTTAGGTTAGATTAGTCCTATAGCTGAAATAATTCTGTAGATACTTTACTTAATATAAGTTTGAAAAAGTTTTTTTAGTTTCATATTTTATGTTTTGAAATTTAGTTATAGCAAAATGTATTGATTATATATGAATAAGAAATCATATAGGATATGGGGATGTCTTCATAGTTAATTATGTATATAGTTTTTGTTGAACTGAATTAGGCTTAACATTTTAACTTGAAAGATTACTGCATGCAAATTATTTGAGCTACACATGGTTATAATGGTCATTATCTCAAACAGTATTCTCATTTTATAAAATATTATTTTTTACAGAAGAAGTTATCATAAACCAAACAAAAGTACATTTTGAAGAAAAAATTATACTAACTAGTCTTTAAACATATTACTTTTTTCAATGACAACAAAAACATTTTTTGACTTCTAAAACCAAACATTTTCTTAGAGTTTTGATTTATAAATTTGATTTTGAACGAGTAGTTAATTAGTTATAATTAACTTGTCACCCATTCAATATCAAATTTGTAATTGTTATTGATAATTTTAGAAAAATATAATATTCCATGAAAAAGGGAAAAAAATTTCAATATAGCGAGTCTATATTTAGGTGTTTATGTTACGATATAGTTTGGTTCTGATTTTTTTCTTTAACCAATTTTTATGAGAAACTTTGGTAAAGTTGATTTCATTTTTGGTTTCAAATGTTACCATGTTCAATTATGTACCTATTATATTTTATTTAAAAATAATTGTACATTTTTTATTAGGTTGATACCAAAATTTTACGAATTTGAGAATTTATTTGATATTGAAATTGAACAGTACAAAGCTTCGTGAGTTTCTTTGAATAAACAAAACATGTTTATTCTGATTACTATACCTACTTGTGTGATTAAACGGTAATGCATCACGCATGATGTTTGTTGTATGTATATTATCATCAAATTCAAAATGTCTAAAAAATTTTTATGATTTTCAGTCTGTAATATTATATTATAATAATACCTATTTATCAATAGTTTGATCTCCATTTAAATATTCACTCCACCTAATTAATTATTTATCCATGGCGATGGTACTCTTTGCATGCCTTGACTGAATGCAAGATACTCAATACTCATTATTGCCCATTGTTTTTTTTTATAAAATATACATTATTTTATCTAAATGATATATTTTATATAATATCTTGAATGCTATAGCATATTAAATTAAACGCCGTTAGAAACGAGATTATAATGTAAATCTATGTTAATTATAGCTAAATTTGTTTACATTGTTCAAAATATAATATGCTGTAATTACTTATTACTATTGTTATAATTGTATAGAAATTAAATTTCAATTGCTATTTGCTATATATAGACTAGAGTACTAGACTATTAGAGAGTATGGACACAATTCACTACGATATTATTTTGAAAGACTTTACCAAAAAAATAAAATGATGAAGTCATTGCTGTTTCCGGTGTATCTGATCATTTATTAAGTCACTGTAATGGATACCTACTTTGAATTTAGTGTTAAATCATTGCACATTAAAAAACGATTCTGAACTAAGGCTTGTTATTATTTTTTACCATATTTTATTGTTTATTTTCACTAGGCACTATAAGAAATTGCGTAATATCAACAATTTCCAAGTTTACGATTAATATTTTTTGTTTAAATATCAAATTTCGTCAAATGTGTTTGTAATGTATTATGATTTATGATAATTGATTATGTGTATCTTAGCCCAAGCACGTATCTAGGAATTTTCAAGGAGTGGTGGGGGGGCGATATTCTACTATTATACATAAGACATAACATTAATAACTACGTATACTTTATTGTACAAATGCATTACAACTGAATAATTTAGTCAGAAAAAAAATGTTATTTTTAAATTAACTTAATGCGTCGACTGTTTAAAGGTAGTATATCTATTATTTCGTCTGTGATTACGACTAAATCTCGATGAATATTTCTAAGTTCTAACTGCTCAGCCGTTCAAGCGATTTCCACCTGTTGTGTTTCTCAGATATGTTTTCAAGCTCCGAAATTAGAAAAAAGATCTTTGTAATAGATATTTGTAAAAGTCTATAAACAGAAGAAAATATTTCTTCATTGCAGTCAATGGACCCCCCTTCGTAGCGTTTTTAGGATTTTAATTTTTTATCCGTTGATGGCATATTGTAAGCTTACCAATTGTAGATACCTCATCAGCTTCAATATCTGAAGAATAAGTTTTTAGAAGTTCTCTGAATTCGGTCTCATTTTTCTCATTTACATTTATTATACAAGTAAATTGTTTTAAGGGGGCTCCAGCATACCGTGTTTTAAGGAATAATATTTAGGCAATTCAAATCACACGTATGGTTCAAAAATCTATCATTTAGTTGTTCCCAAAAATTAGGTCCTGGCTTTAGTGCTTTGTTGTCGTAATATATATTTCGTTTTGATAAGTATGTGTACATCATGATTGATGATGCATCTTTATCTTTATACTTGGCTGGGGAAGGGGGAGTTATTAAACCTGAGACACCCCCTAGCTACTCTCTTCTTTTAGCCAAGGTGTTAAAATAATTAGTAATTACCTACCCACAAATATGCCAACAGCTAACTTCCAAGTCTCTTATTTTTCTACTTTTTATAGGTATTAGGTTCTATGATTTTATCAATTATCAGTATTACGCACACTACACAGGCATTAAGGCTTATTAGAGAAATCAATATTTTTATGTGAATATGGGTTACATTATTATCATCGAAAACAAAAGAATCGAATTTAACTGTTCATTAATATTATGATAATATTGATGAATGTTGATGAATAACAATCACAATTTACTGTAAGGACTAGGGATCAACATTTTTGAGTTTTAAATAATAATAATAATAAAATTAAATTAAACTATGTAAACATTTAGAGATAAGAAGGTACGATTAATGTCTAAAATATCGACCTCTATGTTATTGGTAGGTTATGAGTTATGAGTGTTTCACTAGTTGTATAATTTATATCATTGTTAACTGTTGTTCAAAGATAAACAGTCATATATCTTAAGTTTAATTAAATAAATATTTATCAAAACTAAGATAAAATTATTTTTATAGTTTTACCTTCTGTTTTTTACTCAATATCAGAATATTTACAACTTTTGTACTTCTGGGTCTTCCCACTCTTAGTATTGCCAGTTGCTACTATTATTTGTTAAAAATAATAGGTAGTTTTACTTATTGTATGTTCCTTACTAATTGTTCTACAGATTATAATTTATTCAAAAAAATATCATGTTCGAGATTGAGGAAAAAATTACATTACAAACCACACCTTTATATTCTATAATTCAAATTAGTTTAATATATAACTCCGCCATCTGCGTTTTAATTAGATTTATGGATTACTTTAATAATTTCTAGTGTGTTGCTGTTTAGAAAACATCAGTAGAATTGATATCAATATTCTTTTTTGAGGGTTCATTGGTCCAGTATAAGAGGCTTGAGATCGGAATTCACGCTTCCTCCCACCACTAACTAACCAACAAACCTCCTAACCCTTATGTACATAAGTACATAACTAGCTTTAAAACTGAAATGTAAAAAAAACATCGGCTAGATAATATCCTTACTTCTAAATTTGGTAAGAGGTCAATCCGCTCTAAAATAAAAAATAATAGATTTAAATGAATTATTCAGAACGTACAATTTGCTATATGTTATAACGTCTGTCAGACGAAGCCAACGCATGCGAGTATGGGTTGAACCAAAAAATTAAGGTTTGAGTTTTTATTTCACCATTTTATATTTTGGTCTTAAAACTTGAGCCAGGATTTGAGTAAAGAAGGGTTTGAGAGGTCCCAGTTGCAAGCATTTAAAGACTAGTAAAATTTTGACAGTATTACCTTTAATATATTTTATATTATTAATTAATTTTATCACCGGACTTTTGAAAACAATTCAATTAACCCAATCGAACGAACCAGTCTTGACTATATATATCACAAGTGGTTATACTTATAAATTATAATAAATGTTTTCTTAACATTGAAAGTTGGAAGGGATGGCTATTTTGATTTTTTTACGATTCAAAGGCATTACTCTTGGAGATCTATCTACTTACATATGATCGTCAATACCTATTACCTAACATAGTGAATTAGTGGCTATTGCTTTGTCCGGTTGGAATTTAGTTAATGCGTTTTCGTATTAATCAATACTATAACTGTTCGATTTAATTATTATTTATTTCTTTTATGGTGATTGATATAAGTACACTGAAACATCACCTAACGAACACCTCTAAATACCGGATGTTTTTTGGGAACCAACTACAAACGTTCTACAAATTGCACCCTTAGAAAAGCGGACAAAATGTCAGTGGCTGAGAGTGTCCGGTATTTAGAGGTTTCACATTTTCATAATATTATACCTACTGCTGTTTCATTACCGTATATATACATGGGTCAATATAAGCGGATTTTGTTGTATATTTGTTGTTTGGAGGATATCGACTGCAGTAATTACCAAATGCGTTTTAAGGACGATAAACCGCTTCTTTATGCTCAAGTAATGTAGTCTGTAATATTTTTATATTAAATTATTGAACTACCTGGTTTGGATATAGTTCGACAACGTACGTTGTACATGTTGATAATTCATTGACATTATATATTGCATGAATGGTATATATAAACTATCCTGCCAGCTGTATGCAGTGTAAACACATTTCTCAAATTTCGTACAGCACTTTAATATGATTAAACTAAGATTTGCAATCATTATAATCCGTTAAAATACAATTGGTAATTACTCACGCTTTTACAGCTATAACTCCTATAGAGTAGGAAGGTACCTAGTTGAAGTATAATGAATAGTGATATTTTGTTCGTATATAGTTGTTAAAGTCTGCTATACGAAACAAAAATCAATGTCTAATTTTATTTAGTGTTATTTATAGATGCGCCCGACGGACGGCGGAAAATAGCTTTGATATGGTATAATTTTGAAAATTAGATTAGAATATATATATTAGTTGAGTGTAGACTTATAAGTTATAAATTAATAATAATAAATTGTCCATTATAACTTACGACGTTTACTGTTGTTTAGGTCATTTGCTCGTTAATTCGTTAAAAAGTAGGTACCTATATTGGTATAAATTATAATTAATAATTTAAATATTATAGGAAAGTGCGAAAATCTTAATTCTATTATTTATCATACTTATTATTTTAATTGATTTCGATTTTTTTTTTTTTTTAATCACTGTCTTATAGCCAGTAATGACTTGTTACACATTTATAATGGATATAAATGAAAAATTTAATTTATTCAATAAAATTAATCCGGAAATATATTTGGATTTGGAGAAATGTTTTGGCTTGTTTCGTAGATAAAATATATATTTGTAGTTTACAAGAACTTAACAATTCATTATTTTGTCGATACAATGACGCAGTAGGTTATACAGTACTCAATAACTGTTAACTAAATTCTCTATGATGTAGCAACCAACTAGGCTAGGTTAGGTTGCCTTGCCTTAGGAAGGTATTTTTTTTCTGAGAAGTTATAAAGTAGGTACAATTTATGCAGATACTACAAAAGTATCATTTTTATTAGCATTTCTTATTTTATAAGAAAAATATAATTTTAGTTTATATTTATATATTATATTCCCGGCTCCCGTGTTGTATTAAGTACACAATATAGGTATTATCAATTTCATGAAATGAATGGCCATATAATGTATTTTTGTCAGAATTCACGATCTGGACAAATTTCACTATCTGGATATCCAGTTCTTGAAACGATTGATCTCATTATGTGGATGCGACATATACATTTTACCACGTTTAGATATAATATTATGATTTTTATGAAGAATAAAAATATATGTTTTTTGATATAAATTATCCATTGAAATATTCACACACGTGAATAGATTAATATTTTTCATTCAAATATTCATGTGAGGTATACATGTGACCTTATTAATTATCCATAGCACTTGTCATGCCTTGTCTAAATGACAGACACTTGTTATTTACCACGTTTTTTAAGAAAATAATTTATTTGCGAAAATATTCATATGGAACATTCTTTTAAAACGAATCAAGCTTGTTATGCAAACCTGTAAAACAAATTCCAGCCTACAAATCCTGACCATCCTTTTTTCAGCATGCTTAACTATACACCTATGTTGAAATTTTAAGTTACTTTTTATACAAGATACTGTTTTATAAAACATTATTTACTACCTATACCAGGGGTGATTCTTTTATCATCGAGCACTCATTATTTTAAAAAGTATAAATGTTTAAAAAAACATTTCTTTGCTTTTCTAATCTTTTAAAACAACATTTTTAAAAGTTTAAAAGTATTAATTTTTTCCAAAACATTAATAATTTTTAAAATAATGAGTGTCTTATGCTAATTGAATCATCCGGTAAAGTAATTTTAACTTTAATTTGGAAGAATAGAAAAAACGGTATGATTGTATTAACCTACCATTTTTGTATGGATTATATTTTGTATTTAGCAAGAACTGTCTCTTCTGTGTCATAATGACCTACATTTTAGCTTCTCGGCGCCTTGACTATATTAAATACATTTATAGAGATGCTGTTTATCGTTTATGTATATGACCATGATTTTAAAAGTATTATCTTAATTATTCTGTTTTATATTATTAGGAAGTTATTATGTTATAATATAAATACCATTAGATGGATAATGTGTTATCACTAGTCATCATTAATCATTATAATTAAGAGATACATTTTTTTTAGGTGTATTCTTATGATTAATACAATCATTTTTTTTTTTAAATTAGATAAACAAATAATTTTAGTAGTCAACTGCAGTATTACAGAATGACGGGATACATTAAAATATAATTTACTTAATAGTACATCTTCTAGTAGATATACATAGTATAGACATTATAGTCTACTACTACATATTACTATAATTTACAATAGTTATAGTGTTTTTTTTTTTATAATCTAGGAATTAATACATTTTAATGAATATAGGTATCTAAACCATTTATCAATTATTATGCAGACCAATGGCCAGAGCTTCCACTAATCACTATCTTTATGTTCAATAATAAAAAATAAAAATAATATTGTAATACAGTACCTAACTGATATGTAATTATGCATATAAAAACTAAGACGGTTGTTCCAAGTATATTTTTTTGGAAATAATTGTTTCATGAAGAGGTAGAATAATAACAATAACCAAAAAAGTGGTGCCTAATGAATCTTTTTATTCTTAGTGTTATAATAAAGTGTAACATAACAGATAACAAACTAGACATAATATTATGTTATGTTAAAAACAAAATTACGACATAATTTGAGTCCTATTGGCTAATGGCTATTATTTAAAATTAGTTGTTTTTATTCTTATATTGTATGTAAATTAATTTGTGTTTTTATTGTACAAATTAATTTGCATAAATGATTTCCATACTTTTCAATACTTATGAAGGTATGTTATTTATAGTACCAATTATAAGTACATATATATTATAAGTGCTTGTATAATAATGTAAAATATTTTTTTAGTAAAGACAAAGGAATGTCAAACTTTACAATCATGCCATTTTGTCTGTGTTTTGTTTAGTACATATCTAATAATGAGTTTATAGTAGGTACTTAAAGTATAATCAATAAATACCATTAAAAATTACAATGCAGTGAATCTGATTACAATTAAATACATTTAAATTGCATTGAATACTTGAATTAACTAAATGGTTAATACATTTAAATCATACATGATAAAGACTGGCAATATAATATAATATTATTATATTGAAAGACCTTAATTTATGCTGCTTTTCTTATATTATCTACTGATTAAATAATCAAATTTTATGCTGATATAGTTTATAATTTTGTATTATTGTTTTAATATAAATTACAATTAATAATTAAATGTTAGCTACTAACTAAAGATTTACATCTAAAAGAAAATATGGAAAAAATGTATTTTATTTTATTAAGTCGTTTATTTATTCATAAATATTACCTATTGTTGATTATAAATAGGTACTCTACAAAATACATTATTTATAGTAAATATGAAAGGGTAATTTTATACCTAATTGTGTTATGACTGAAACAAAATTTTTGATTTTAAAGTTAATAATTAGTTACTCATTTATGTATACTTAATTATTTTACTTTAATGTTGTTAAAATGTACTAAATATACTATAATTGCACGTGTATATTTCTTGTTTATTAATCTACCTACAATATAATATCATGTTTCATTGGAAAACTAATATTAATCAATTATATCCCAAGTACCAACTGTTTCCTGTGATTGCAATAATTTAAAATCATTAATAAATGAGTTGTAGAATACCGATGCACGCTGAAATTGTCATTTTGAATTCATTAAGAAATTGTCAATTTTATATAATATATTTCATAATTATCTAATATTTGAATGTACCTACTTATTTTAGTGCTGGTGGGTTAGTCACTGCTGTAGCACCTGTTGTAGTTCAAGGAAATGGACTATGGATAGGATGGGCTGGTGTTCACTTAGAAGAAGGTGAAAAAATACCGGAATCGGATCCAAATGATACAACACCTACTGCCGGATTACGTTCTGATAGAGTGAGTTGTTTATTTTAAAGGAATGAACTAAGATATTATTTGTCTTAACTATTTTTTTATGTACCTTTAAGGTTATTCCTGTTGACTTTGACCCTCAAATATTTGACAGTTATTATAATGGTTGCTGTAATGGAACATTTTGGCCTCTATTTCATTCAATGCCTGATAGAGCACAATTTTCTGCCGATTCTTGGAAAGTAATGAAAAAATAAATAAAAAAATACTGTAATGAAATTAATTCAATTCTTTTTTGTACATGATTTTTTAGTCATACTGTGCAGTCAACAAAGAATTTGCATCCAAAACAGTTGGAGCTTTGGAAAATTTATCAAGAGAAGATACAGATTCTGGAACACCTCTTGTTTGGTTACATGATTATCATCTTATGTTAGCAGCCAACAGCATAAGAAATGTAAATTGGTTGATATATACATACATAAATAGCTCTAAATCAAAAGAATGTATTGACAATTTTTTTTAAAAATATTTTACAACCAATTTAATTTATACTTCCTTATTTTCTAAAGTAAAAATAGTTTAGGTATCTAAGAATAAAAGAGTTAATGTCCTACTGATTTAATCAGGTAAAAAATGGAAATTATATTGAAATAAAATTTTATTTTTATTATAGAAAATTCAAAATATAATAATAAATGCATTGATCATTTATTAATAAATTTACTTTAAAATACTAAAATATTATATACTATCCATATGAATAATATCACAAAAAACTTGCATAATTCTTTTGCCAATGTACTCATAGTATATAATATTTGTTAAGCATCTGAACACATTGTATTTAATTATATAAATTATTATTTTAGGCGGCAGATGAAAAAAATTTGAAATTTAAATTAGGATTTTTCCTTCATATACCATTCCCTCCATGGGATATTTTTAGGTTGTTTCCATGGGCTGATGAAATTCTTCAAGGAATGTTAGGTATGTACACATCTAGCTAATAATAGTTCATCGATTTGTATAGTTTATCCTAAAGTTTACCTTATATTCAAGGTTGTGATATGGTTGGTTTTCATATTGAAGACTATTGTTTAAACTTTGTGGATTGCTGTCAACGGAGATTAGGATGCCGTGTAGATCGAAAAAATTTACTTGTTGAACATGGTGGTCGCACAGTACGTATTCGTCCATTGCCAATTGGTATACCATTTGATCGGTTTGTAGAAATGGCCGAGCAAGCACCTACAGTAATAAGTACATCATTACAATTGGTACTTGGTGTAGATCGATTGGATTATACTAAAGGATTAGTACATAGACTAAAGGCTTTTGAATTGTTATTGGAGCGATATCCACAACACAAGGGTAAAGTAGCACTCATGCAAATCGCTGTACCATCACGGACAGATGTTAAAGAATACCAGGACCTTAAAGAGGAAATGGACCAGCTTGTTGGACGAATAAATGGACGTTTCACAACTCCTAATTGGTCACCTATTAGATATATTTATGGGTGTGTCAGTCAAAATGATTTGGCAGCTTTCTATCGCGACTCAGCTGTAGCAATGGTTACACCACTTCGAGATGGCATGAATTTAGTTGCCAAAGAGTTTGTTGCTTGTCAAATTAAGGAACCACCTGGTGTTTTAATTGTATCACCATTTGCTGGTGCTGGTGAAATGATGCACGAAGCTTTAATTTGTAATCCATATGAATTAGTTGAAGCAGCTGATACTTTGCATAGAGCATTGACCATGCCCGAAGATGAAAGAATGTTAAGAATGAGGTGTTTAAGACGTAGAGAAAAAATACATGATGTTGATTATTGGATGCGATCTTTCCTTAAAGCAATGGGAACTCTAATATTTGAAGATGGAGATGATGTTTTGCCAACTACTATGCAGCCAGTCACTTTACAGGATTTTGATGATTATTTGTCCAAGTAAATAGTGGTTTTTTACGATAGCATATTATTTATTTATGTATACTTACTTTTATAATTTTCACTATAGATATATTGGCAACACAAACAAACTTGCATTACTATTAGACTATGATGGTACATTGGCCCCATTAGCTCCTCATCCAGACCTCGCTATATTACCTTTAGAGACTAAAAGTGTTTTAGAAAGGTTGGCTAATATGTCTGATGTATACATATCTATTATTTCTGGTAGAAATGTTCACAATGTTAAAGATATGGTTTGTTATTTACTGTTAAATTGTCTAATCTGAACAGCAAAATAAATGGTTTACACTATTTTTATTAATCTTAGGTTGGAATTGAGGGTTTGACTTATGCAGGTAATCATGGACTGGAAATTCTTCATCCCGATGGAAGTAGGTTTGTGCATCCAATGCCCAAAGAATATGAAGATAAAGTTGGGGATCTGTTAAAAGTGCTTCAAGAACAAGTAACTATTAAGTCCATTTAGTGGTTATTAATTAAGTTACAATCATACTTATTTGTTTTCATTTTGTAGGTTTGCAAAGACGGTGCATGGGTAGAAAATAAAGGTACTTTATTGACATACCACTACCGTGAAGTGCCTGTAAATGCTCGACTTGAGCTTGCAGCCACAGCACAGCGTCTCATTGAAGAAGCAGGATTTAAAGCAGGCCAGGCTCATTGTGCCATTGAAGCCAAACCTCCAGTACAATGGAATAAGGGACGTGCATCTTTGTATATTTTACGAACAGCTTTTGGTTTGGATTGGAGTGAACGCATACGTATTATCTATGCAGGAGATGATGTAACTGATGAAGATGCAATGCAGGTAATTTCAATTCATCTTAAAATAAATAATATATAGTCTAATTTTATTTATATTTTTTGAAAGGCATTAAAAGGTATGGCAGCAACTTTCAGAGTAGCCCAGTCTCAAATTGTAAAAACATCGGCCGAACGCCGTTTGCCAAGCACAGATTCTGTGTTGACCATGTTGAAATGGGTTGAAAGACATTTTGGAAAACGATTACCTCGTGCAGATAGTGTTGGTAATTTAAGCAATAATCTACAAATGTCATTGGGAGCAATGCAAATGGAGCTCAGTATGCCAGAAGAAACATCTCCACACTAATAATCATGACTAGGAAATATTAGTGTCTTGAAACCCAAAGTTAGTTTTTACTCATTATTCACAGTGTGTTAGTAAAAGGTATTTTATATTGACTCATAACAACCAGTGTACGAAAATTTATGTAAAAGTTTTGTTCAAGTATCAAATAATTATATTCATGTTTATAGAACGTATTGGCACATACTACAATCAATAATGAATAAATTATTCTATACGTCAATTAGAAGTTAATAAAATAAGTAATACATGTTGAATTAAAAAAAACAATTAAATAAATGATACAACAAAAAAAAACAATAATACTAACAGGTCTTTTACATTCCTTAAATATTTTAACTTATCAGTTTCTTATATTTCATATTTTAATCATCAAACAATATAATTATCTGTATATTTATTAAAATAAAAACACATTCAGTAGATAGTGATAAATCAATAAAAGTATTGTATCATTTGTAATTATCAATATTGTACTTATAAATATTTTAAGTTATTTTGTATTCCTAGTCAATTGGAAGATAAAAAAGTGGAACCACTTGTGGTACTTTATAAATGCAAAAAAAATCCTAATATAGTACAGCCAGTACAGGTGGAATACCAAAATTACACACGTAGTAATAATAATTTCTATCATTAAATAAAAAACTAAACTTAAAAATAATATTACAACTTTGTATCATCAAATAATGTGCCATAATATAAAATTATATTTGTAATTGGGTAATTTTTGTTTAAAATCTGTTTTATTTTTATTGTTATATTATAATAAATATTATTTTAATAATTGTTTAATTGTTGAACAGTGATTTTACTTTAAACGGTGTTTCATATATGTTTTATAAATATATTTTTAGAAGTTATAAGATAAACAACACCTATAGTATATTGTTTATTATAATAAATTATCAGTTAAATATAATTATGTTTTATTTTATTCTAAGTATTGCACGTAGTGTTTTTTGTGTACATTTTATTATTATATAATAATATATACTCAAGAATTAGTCATGATCGTTTAGCTTAATTCATTTGTGAACTTCCTACACATCATATTATCAAACAATGTGAAGAGTACATACATAGTTTTAACATGTTCTCTGTTATCCAATGACCTATATTATAGATTACCGTTATATACAATTATGCAGAAGTTCTTTATAATTATACTGTTATAGTTTAAAATTACTTTTATTTTTTTTTATTTGACTAAATCAAAAAATTAAATATTGTACCTACAAAACTGCCAAAGATTTTTATAAATGTACAAAGTAGTAAATTAAACATTAGTATATAGGGGGGGGGGG